ATCAGAATATGCTTTTATTCTAATTTTTAAATAGTTCATCCGCTGTTGCAAAAACCTAAGTTCGTCCTAAATTCACTAATTTGGCTCGAACTGCATCGGGTTGGATAAAAGAAAAGTCTTTCAAGGACACAAAGGTCTTTAAAGCTGTTAACTGGCCAAACAACAGAAAGTGCAGTATAAAACAGCTTCCTCGCTATTGGGATTATCGCATATGCAATAATATTTGAAGATCCAAGGGCTGCCATGAAAATTGAGGTGTTGACATCAATGTGAAGAATGACCGGGTTTTTATGTGCTTGTGTGTATACCCATTCTCTGGCTTTGATGTGATTCAGTAAATGTAACAGTGACCTTTTCTGTCTTATAGGTCACATAAAGAAAATATCTGTCAATTTTCATTTTTAGATACTCAAAGTGCCTTGATTCCTATCAAATCAAAGATCCATCAATGCCGTGGCCATTGCAGCGTATCTTCTACTATTGCACTTCATTAAGAGAAAACGTTGTTATGCTTGTTTACCTCAGGTCCATTGAGGCAATAAGATTGCTAGTTGCTCCCGTAATCTATCGAAGATAAGTGATGGAACTCCTATGCGCATCTCGACAAAAAGAAGGATTGTAGGCTATCGATGGGTACTGAAACCTCCTTGCTGTGCATATTTTAGACAATTTAATCGTTGCTGGTTGCATCGGTACTGTTTTCGGTGTCATTTGAAAGGAATATTGTATGAATGTGCATTATTTGAATTGTTAGAATGCAGTAAAAAGGTTTCATTTGGTCAAAGTCAATGCGTCAAGAAAGTAACGTGATTTCCATAGTAAGGACTGGGTCACAGGGTAGTACACGGTGCTGAAAGTGTAGACAGCCTAAGAGGCTTAAAGTTACGTTTAATTTAGATGTTGTTTTGGTTTTCTCTGGATTTAAAAAACCAATTTTGACGTTTGTATAAAGAAGTAAGAGCCGTTATATTAAGAAAATTTCACCAACAACAGAGACGCTTTGGTCTTTATCCCTTACCATTTCGTACAAAAGTCGCTCTTTTGATGGTAAAAAGTCAAAAGGCGCAAGTCAAATAAGGGTTTCAAATAAGTCGCCCGCCCTTATAACAATCAAAACTGATTTGGAAGAATCGTGTTGTTTTTGAAAACAAAATACTGTCAATTTGTAAGATTTTGCTACATGGAAACGAAGCACCACACCCAAATGTGCAATTTGTGTGACTGACTCACTCCTTTCGGTCGCAATCAAAATGCTCCGCTTGACCACTGATACGCAAACCATTTTTTCCCTTTGACAATATATCGAAGTAGCGGTGTGAAGTTTGCCCATGGAAAAATGTACGTAGTGATGGCCACGATCATTAAAGCGGAGAATGCATTAGACTAAACCAACAGTCTTTTGACTTAATAACTGAAACATAAAGGACATAAGTTTTTGCTCACCTGTGGAAGGAATGCAACACCGTTTACATTACTAGGTCTAAAAACATATGGCCTCAACTCACTTCTTTTGCCTTACTATATATGTATTAGTGGTTGTTAAAAAAAGTTGAAACAAATTGAGAGTTCTTTCAAATTCACCTTTTAGAGGAATGGTTGGAAATTTGCATTAGTCGAAACTGTGAATGGTCCGGAACCACATTGTAAAAATTTATATGAAATCATCGTTCCGTTTAGCAACCACAGAGTAAACGATACTACACAAAGTTTGAAAACTAACGGTTGATAGTAAGTGTTGCACATAAATCACATGGAGGACGTGATTGCAGAATAAGAAGGCAGTCAGTATCCACGATGTTGTGAATTTATAGGGGACAATTGGCCTGATAGCTATTTATCGACGAGATGAGCAGCCTTTTAAAATGAAGAGCCTAAGGCTTTGCGAGCCAGTGGTCCAAATTATTTCAAAAAGGAATAAAACTTCTAGATGGGTAATAAATATGTATTCAATTAACTAAAACTTACAAATAACAGCTAAATGAATTGCTGTCTTTTCTCGCTGTAGGCATAGCAAAGCACAATGTATTGCATTTAAGTGGGCAGGAATTCCTAAAGTTGGCACGGTAGGATAATACTAGGCTTGGGTAATATGTCTCTGTTACATTTAGCAGCATTCCTTGAAAACACGCAGAAGGAACCACCCTCAAAGCTACCTAGTCTGGAACACTGCTCGGAGCACAAGAAGGGATTGAGGTTGTATTATCGGGGAGCCTTAAGTTCTGCAGATCACCGACAGTCAAATCGTTTGCCCAATTTGGCTTCGCGGCTTGGCAGTGTGAAATGAATTTGGGAAATGTGAGTCGATCAAAATGTTGTTAGATCTTCTTATTGAAATTGTTAACATAGAGGATAGATCAGTAATCCGTTTTAATAACATTTTAAAACCCATATTAATCAAATTGGAGAGGAGTCAAAAACATACGTTTCCATGAGGAGAAAGGCACAGGTTCGACGTAGGTCTTATCCCTTTACTCACTGAAGCCTGGCTCGATTGCAGATTCATGAATAAGTAATGCAAATGCTCAGACACTGCGTGCATCACATTCCTGATTCGCCTTTACAACCAAAATAGTAGTTGTCTTTATTTTACCGGAAGGCTTTTGCCAAACCCCAAAGAATTCACGATACCACGGCTCAGGCGTGATTCACTAACGCTATCTAGGTGAAACTCAGAAATGTGGTCATTTAAATTGCTTAAATGTTATATGGAAAGAACAGAATGGTGTAACCGCATCTTAAGTTTTAATAAGTCAAAACGGAAATCACGTGTGATGGTAAAATGTGTGTATTAAAGCTGACAGTGGCCGGGCATTCATAAAACCACAGAGTTATCTAGGGAAATTACTTTAATTATGCCTCTGGGAAAATGAGAACTGTTTTAATAACCAAATGGAAATGTTTATTCTTTTTTTATATTGAATGTAAGATCTCCTAGGGGATGTAGTTACCCAAAGTTTAATACAATATCAATTCTCCAGAGCCTGTCATATTTTATCTGGACTTTTACGTGGTAATTTAAATCAAAACAGCATAAAAAACCCTCTTATAACGAAATGTCTATATTCATTATAAGAGGGCATCAAACGAAGACCAAAATTCTGAAGCTAACTAATCGAGTGCACCTCATTGCCTTGTCGTCAACGCGTTGACGATGTATCGCCGCATTAATGAAACGAAAACACCTAACCGACAGTTGAAATCGGAACTTAGTGAGTAATCGTTTGGGTAACACCTGAGTAAATGTGGTAAAATCAGGTTTCTCGCTAATTACTGACTGTTCTCACATGTTATAAAAAATGGGTGCTTATATGAACTAGACTTTTATTGTTAGGCGATTTAAAAAACAAAGTGGAGGCGAAGTTTGTTAGGGGAATTTCTGAAATAACCTTGGAAATTGGCAACAGAAGAAATGTTTTTCAATCGAAAAGACAACTCCTACTTTTGCTTTTTTATTTGAAAGGAATACACGAAAATATGGAAAAAAGAAGAATTTTGCTGGATGAGAGAAAGTTAAGCGCTTCACAGTTGTTTCCTGTAAAACGTGATTTTACTAGTTGAGGCAAAGAGTTAGCACTTAGAGAAAGAAAAGAAGAAAAGCATATGCACATAAACTGAAACGACGTCTCTATTTATGAATTTTAAATAAATGTTTAGCGCATTTTTTACCACTTAGCCACTTTGAAGAATATTTCAAGTCTTACTAGTGGGTTAGAACATGTTACTGGTACTGCCCATACTTGAATGTCAATGTCAATGCCTTAATTCCTTTTGCTCATTCATTAAAATGCAATAAATGTTTTAACTACAACTTTACGTGCAGCCTTTTGTGGTTTAGCCCGGTCCTTGAGATAGAATTAGAAGCAATCAAAAGGCAGTGGGCTTCCATTTCGATTGTATGAACGAGAGCTTTTACATCGTTTGCTCTGATCGTGGTCAAAAGTGGGCGTACTACTTACATTTATCCAAATTTGCAGGGAAATATAATCGGTTGACATCTAAAACTACTGTACAAGAAGTGCAACAACCTCCTGAAAGACCTGCTCAATGACCCACTATTGTTTCCTCCCCAATTGCACAATGTTCCCTTCCAACGCATTTCACAACACCTCGTTACAAGGATACTTCCTTACTGTTGATTGAAGACAATTTTTAAGCCATTTTGGTAAGTTGCTTTCAAATTCACGACTTTGATTTTCTTTTTTAAAGAATTTTCCAGTATCCTGATCTACTTTATAAATCAAACCAGCCATTCTATTAAATTTATTTTTGCCTCAATTTCGTTGTAAGGGGTTCCATTAAGTAAATAGCTAACATTCACTGCCATTCAAGATCAGAGTTACATAAAGTTCAAAAATGTACAGCGGCATTTTTTAGGCGTCATGGTGTCACTAATTTAGAATCAGATATAAGTAAGCTCTTTATGGCAGAAATACCGAAAGCCTGCATGCATTCATGGAGGCTCGACAATGCTCTTGGTAAAGATTTTAGTGGAACGAGATAGGTAGTACCCAAATCGTAATTAGCATTTAACTTACAACATGCGAAGATTTCATTATTTTAACCTCAATGAGCATAAACCACGTTACTGTTTGTAAAAACAATTGATCTCGATTAAAAGTCTTGAGATTCTATCCTCACTTAAAATGGGCATGGGAGTAAAAAGCTTTCTAAAATGGGACCATGCTAATGTACTTGTAGGCGGCCAAGCTCATTTGTACAACAGAAATTCTTTTTACCAGTCAGTACAGTTTTCTTTATTCAAGAAAGAAGCTGTATTTGCAGTAAAGACCGTTAGCACTCAACAATTCACAAACGGACTTTATTATAATCATAAATATCAGACATCCTTTCTAAGTGTTTTTCGGTTGCATAGTGTAAATTTACCATACTTGACTTAGGTAGGAAGACGATGCTCTCTTCACCTAACTACCCATGCAAAAGCAGTGGGTCTCCCAGTGGGTCGGTTTGATTGCATACCTTAGAGCATAATAAATGTGTTTATGTCTTCGAAGTGGCCCTACATCACAGATCACTTTGTACTTCCGATGGACGCTCCGTCTCCGTGGGTAACACAATCACTGGGTGACAGTAGCAATAAATGAAATTTCGTAAAAATTTACTCTTAGCTATTAATTTCTTGTGAAACTGGTGCAACATAGCAATATATCTTGTGAATATATTTTTGAGGTGATTTGTCACTTATATTTAAACAGGGGCAAAACATTCGCGTGTCCAATCTGTTGAGCGAGATTTGAAACTTGGCCACAGTGAATTACCAGAGAAGAACTTAAGGGACCCTGTTCCCTTAGAGGTCCACTTTCGTCAAATTTTTTGAGACCTTCGCCTTCACGTTAAACGCCGCAAATTTTCATTGACACTGAAAAATTTCAGTGCTAGTATAGAAATCCTTTTTTATGTTCAGCAATTAAATGGAAGTACATTTGAGTTGTGGAGCGAAAGCAATTTTATTGCCAACTTTAAACCCATGCATTTTTTATATTGGGTCCTAGCACAGTTAATACTAATAATGTGGTTATTCATTCAGAGGTGTATTAATCGCAATCACTCAAATTTGCGAATGATTTGGGCCCGCTGTTCCACTTCGTAGTGTTTTTCCCCATTTAATAATCTAGCCATCATATTTTTTCATTCGTGGATGGAGTAAATCACTTTTGGGAGACTGTTCCGGCCGTGCAAATCTTCAATTTCGTACCTACTTTACAATTTTTATTTGTAATAAAAAATGAATGTCCATCATACCGTGAAATCCGCTTACTAAATGATACAGCCTTGTTCCATGATAGGTTAAATTTTATGCTGGGTTACTCCAAGTCGTCAATCGTGGATGTAGAGTTACACTAAAACCGTATGACTGCTAAAACTATGCCTGAGTAGGTATCAATGCTGAGCGCCTTTGAATGGAATATGCAAAACATGGATGAGGAAGACACGTGTGGGTGACATAGAGTTCAGAGCATTGCGGATTATTAAGACTGATTCTATATTTAGGTCAACTACACTCAAGTACAGTTGAGTATCCTGTCGCGGTAAGGCAAATATTAATCGTTTATTTTGCTCGCATAGGACAAAGTGAGCCTAATTTTTTTCTTCGATAAAATTAAGTTGCTTTTTTTACGAGAGAAAATTCGTTTGCTGAAGTCAGATCGTTGATAATAATAACCTCTTGTTTCTAATGGGACCATCTACACCATTGTAAGGGGGATGTCGCTTTAATGATATGGCGAGAACAGGATCTCTGTACATCGGTAGGAGTGATTAAGCAAACATTAGATTTCAGCATATTAGTCAAAAGGGCATGTTTCCTATCAAATGGTGTCTTCACATCAAAATGCACTTTACCGAAGGTTTTCTAAACTTTTATGCTTGCCCCAAAGTCGAATTTGTGAAGCCTCATTTATTAAAAAATTGATTCATTTAAATTGCACTAACAAAGCAGCACCGGCTGTTGTTCTACTTTTATGTGAACGGTAAACCTCCCGACAAATGTCTCACTCCGACCGCAAGTGATTCCAAATTTCGTAAAATTTACCATGTCACATAAAAAACCCTTTTGTTTTGCTATACTAGCAAAAGCAAGTGTTACCCATAACAAACAATTTTTCTTAAGAAAAGCAGGATTTTTCGCAACTCCCACGACCATATTACAAATACTAAGACCTCTATTTAATTGTCCTATCATATTCCCACGTTTCCTCACCAATATTTAATGTCTCCTTAACTAAAACCGCTAATATCTTTTTGGATGGGATCATATAAACAGAGTAAACATTGCGAATTCATTAAACATCTGGATTGTCCGAAATTGCTGCCAATTACTTTCCCGTAGTCTACAATCAGCCATTTATTAATCCTTTACCACGTGGACAAGTCGAAGCAGAAGTGGTTTTAAAAAGTCCGTTTTTTGCATGCCCGACTCATCGCACCGTAAATAGCTTGTCAAAATGTGGACCCATGGCAAGGCACTTGGTGTGTCTGATGGCAGTTCACTAACACTGTCATCAATACTGTCAAGCTTTTCAACGCGAATTCACCAGAACGAAGTCAATAACGCTTAAATGGACGTTTTAACGGTCATTTCCACTTAGCAAATCACAAAAAGATGACATGCATTAAGTCTGCTTGACCTATCTAACGGTAGGTTAACTTTGTAATTAGAATGAGTAGGTTGACAAATCTGCCATCTATATGTGGCAAATTCTACTTAGCTCTCCTCGGCCAAAAGTGTTCACATGCATGTGATAAATAATACACTTAGGGGAAGTCTAGTGGAATGTATGTTTAATATATTCCAATGGTAATCTCACGACTCGAAAGTAAAGCGACAGTTTTGTCTTTGTTTTAATTTTATTTCCCCGGGAACATATGATAAGCTTATGATAACCACCTTAGCTCATTAATATGCTTACAAGATAAAAAATTGTTTCCAATCCTCGAAAAAAAAACATCAATTCTGAAATACAAAATTAGTACCAGATTAATATGTCAAAAATTACCGGATTTTCTATTCTGGATACTAATTTGGTTGAAGAAAAGAGGTTGGTAAAACTATATCTTGGTTTAAAAAACGGTCCAGCGTTATTGAGCCTGTGTATGTGTGTGTGCGTGCAATTGAAATGGGGGACCAGAAACACCGAACACCGACCAAACTCTTCTTGCCTACACATTTTCCCAAAGTCCCAAGGGAAGTACCATCTCCCTTTTGTAGCTCAAAACACACTATTTGATCAATGTACAAAAAAGTCAATTTTATGCTGTCGGCATTCAGATTGGTGTATGATAAGTCGACGAACTTACTGGGTGGTTTTTATTATGGGAAATATATAAAGTAACATTCATTAAAATCTGTACACTTAATTTGTGCACTAATAAGCACTTTTCTGTTTCAAATAACATGAAGATGTACTCATCCATGCAATTTCTCGAAAGAATCAAAGTATAGGGTGATTCAGCGATCATAATTTCTTGTCTTGACTGTGTAGAGATCCGAAAATATCTTGATTTTTCACTTTTAGAGTTATGAAAGTGCAGGATTTTTAGTATGGTACTGGTTTTACAGTCTTGCAAATTTTACTCATATGCAACTACCACTAGACACAGAGAGCGTTCCCCAACCCGAGTTTTATAATATTTATTACGTGGCAATCGGCTTTAGACCTGTGCCTGAATCTTTGTCACTCACTACTTTCAGCAATGAGATTTGGCCTATAAAATGTCAGCCCTTTAAAGTTTTGCATTTTGTCGCCTTATTTCAACTTATTAAAGGTGCCTTTATTTCCTTGACATGTTAGAAAATTGCATTTCCATAGATATGTGAGTTGCATAAATTATATTTAATTATTTCAACTTTGTGATTTAATCTACAAAGCGATGCAAATACATTGTTTTCTGATGAAAGTTCAATGGGTGAAGACATCATGTGCAATGAAGTCAGATGTGAACACCATTTTTCCAAAATGTCTTGTTTTTTAGTGAAAACCTAACATGTCAAGCAGCATAGTTTTTGGCCCTGATAGGGTTCGATGAGAAAAAAAACTGCTTCGTAAAAACTAACATCCAATCATTAGTATTATCAATTCGCTCAATCATTCATTCACAGGACTTAGAGCAAAAAATAAGGAGAACAAGTATAATAGGCAGGTGCCGAAAAACAGAAATGACTCACAAATTAGCAGGTTGCCTGCAGCAACCAGAGGTGTGCCTATTCTTCCTCACACCTCACAATCAGACAAGGCAACCTCACTTCAGTGGGATCCTCCTCCCATTGCTCACCTCACCAGATATCCGACTGACGCCAATCTTCATCTCTTCTACCTGATAGAAATGGCTAACAAAATAATTCGGTTGATTTTGCATCCTTGGAAAATTTATATCTTGTTTTAATAAATAAAATTTGGAATTTTTTTATTACTCAAAAGTCGCTTACGTAGTTAGTTGGCGGGGAGGTGGGAGATTTAACTACAAATGATAGATTGTGGTGCAACTGATTTCAGTTACTCCTGCCCCCTGTGACTCTCTCATTTCGAAGGCTGTGGTTTGGCCAAACGTGGATGAGTGGAATACAAAAACATAATTACTCTTAGAATAAATAGTTTAAACAGAAGTGCTGACGTCAAACCTGTGCTGATGGTGGTTGAAGGAGCTCACCATTTGCGTTCACCGTCTTGGGGGCCGCCTACTACGCCCTTTCTGGAAATTTTTGTAGAGATCTGAATGCTGGGATGGTCAATTTTTTTTTGTAAAATATGAATTAATACTTTTTTGTTATCCTTAATTATCAAGAGTTGACCATTGCAGCTAAAACTGATGCTATAGGCAAAGGTGAAGAAATGACAAATACTCTAAGCAACACAAATTCCTCGATGACATGTGATCTAGACATCATTTAATTGATTTAGCCTAACACAGCGTTTAGCATTAACCTTAATATGTACCACATTTTTCAGTTGTGGAATAAATATGCTCAATTCTTAAAATAACATCGTAAATATTGCAAAATCCCAAACTATGGTGTCATGTTTTTGAAACGGTTTATGGAACCTCTTGCAGAAGCATCATAACAGCAAGGCAGGCCAAATACGTGGCGCCTTTAATGCCTGCAAACTGTCATGGACATGCGATTTGTAGTAAAGCAGAAGTAGCAAAAATGAGACGAAGATTGGGTGCCATGTCACACAAGAAGCTGAGCACCAAACGCTACCCACCCACAACATCTTGATCACCCCGATGTCGGCTAAATAACTTTCACTTAAATCAGTTTATAAGGAGTATAGGGGAGTAGCTGATATTCAGACAAGAATTCGATTTTTGCCCGTAAATATGCATATGAATCCAATTTAATTTTTGTAAGGCTCCTTAACAATTCACAATTTTTGTAACAGAAGTTTTCGGCTAAAATACAACAGTTAGTCACTATAGTATTTAGTTGCTACATTTCAGTTCCCAATATATTGTGGAAGATTAAAAACACCACTTCATCGCAGAGCGTACAAAAATATCCCAAAACACTGTGAGTATGCCCAGCAGTCTACATTGGGATGGGTAATTGAAAAATTAAGTCTTAACCATTCACGAGTTGCCAATTCTGACACACCTTTTTTAGGGTTAATAAGCTATCTTTTGTATATTTCTAGGTTTCTTTTTGGTTATGAAACATTCAAAGTATGTATGGGCACAATTCGCATAATATACTGATTTTAAAGGTGATTTATTTCCGACTGTGGATAAGATGATCGGGAGTATATTAAACCAGCACCTTAAGCCACTTTCCTTAGACATCTAATATACCATAATAGCCATTTTGGCGTCACTTTGGTTCCTGGAATGTCAGTACATACATTGAAGCGTCAAGGAAAATAATGTCCCAAAATGCAATATTGCTTGTCCATAGATTTCAAATACTTATAGACATGAATATGTAAGCCTTGCATCACCAGCCGATGAAGTGGCCACGGCCAGATAGAAATTCCGACAGACTGCTTTGGTCATTCTTCATCCACTTATACTAGACGAATGTTGTGCATGTTTAACGCATAACTTTTTATTACAAGTCATAACGTTGTGCCTGATATTTTGCTTCAGACAGACATGCATTCCGTGAAAACTCACTATTATGCAAAAGTATTACATTCTGCTTCAAGATCGTTAAAACAGCGGGTCTGGCATACGTCCTTCGCTATATGCGAATATATGCATAATCAGGTGGGGGAGAGGACCTTAGTAGCTAAAACCCTTTTTCGCGATTGGGCTCTTTGAACGAAGTTTTTGAATTCCGACCCACACCTGTTTGATTGGAATCGCATGCCAGAAATAGGAATGGTGCTGTGCACTGCCTTTTGCCGTATTATCATTATAAGGTTTTGAATGAATTATATACCCATTGGGTTGTAGAGGCAACATGGCAGCAATTGCCTGTGACATTTTTCCGTGGATTTGTCTCCCTGTTTGCTTTCAGACCTAAACAGAACCCGGATGATTTAATCTCAAATAGTTATAAAGGAACGACTATTTTTAAACCCTGATAAGACATTTGTCAGCATGCTAGTAACTGCTCTTACATTAGGTACAAGCGAAATGTACTTCAGCCTAATTCCTTCTTATTCCACAAGCGCACCCCATGCTTCTACCATATTTTAGAGATGTTTTCAAAAATTGCAAAAAAGGTAAGTGCGTATTTGAGGGGAGGAGACAATTTGCAAGCCACAAGCACATAGGCCAGGGCGATAAATCAACTAATCTCACCCACTCTAGCCCATCTCATCGGCTCCTTCCATGCCTCAGCGTGAGTCAGAGCCACTTGAGTGCTTCATCCACCAGTTAGTCACGTACCATATAGAAATGTGAGATACTAATGCTTTTCTGTGGGACACACTGAGCTGAATGGACTTGATTTTTGACTATTACCACAGCCATCTGTTCAGGATAGTAGATCAACTGTCAACTATTTTGCATGAGACAATCCGTCTCTAACAAATAAAAAGAAATGAGTTGAAATTGCAACACGAAGTTTTATTTCACTATTTAATTATTGCTCCTTAATAACTGGAAAGCCCGGAGATTCTGCAATGTAAGTTCAGTTTTTCTTCGTTCTCTACTAATTTTTTTCTAAAAAACAATTAAAAAACAATGATATCATCATTTTAGGGCCCTAAGTGTGGCTTGTCTCTGATGTCTTTCTAAAATCGAGGCTAGTCTAAACAGGGATGAAATCAGGTAACTTTATAGCTACTTTCACTTCAACACTATCAATCATCATTACTTGAAAGCTAAAAACAGTACAATGCTTGGAGGAGCTTTATTTACACGCGTAACGGTATTTTGCTGCAGAAATTGCAGTCAAATCTATCACAACATCCTCCTATATGCAGTGAGTTTCCGTTTCCGGTGACGTCTATTTTCTATGCAAACAATTCCTTATTATGAACAGGCGGGTCTAAGGATGCATTGGTACGATTTTACACAAATCTAAAAGTTGCATCACTAGCTATGCTATTATATTTTCTTCCTTTTCCTTACACGCAGTGAGAGGCTATTTTCATACAGCTGAATTTTGGTTCGTGTGTCTGACTGCAAATTTACACATAAAAGCACATCGAATGACCATGTGCATGGCAAGTGCGGCACGACTTGATGCAAAAATAGAGGAACGCTTCTGACCTAAAATTCTTAACCAGATGACATTTTCAACAAAAGGTTTCCAGACATTTATTGTGTTTGCTTGTTGTACGCTGTTCGTTAGCGGGAGGTTTTTCTCCATAAAAATAATATTGCAAAAACTTATAGTTTGAATATATCTGAGAGCAATACTCGATGATTTCTGCACTGCACTTAGGTTTCTTGAGCTACATAGATTAATTCTCTGCTAGGAGACTTGAGGCCTCTGTCTGTTTGGAACCCTACACTATACCCATTTCTTTAATAAGGTACGCCTTCATTATGAACAGAACATACTTTGAGCTGATAAAAAGGAAGCAAATGGAGATATAAGACCTCATCCACATTAGTCGACTAAACTTCTTATTGTAATTTCCATCAAAATGAATTATTTAAAATAATTTATTGCATCGCCGACTCAACCATCGGGGAAAAATATGTTTTATCATAAGTCATCTCCCTTAGCTCCAGTCACTTAGGTATATTTGACTCATTGTATCCTTATATCACTTTTAAAAAATGAACCGTTTATATCTAACAAAGATGTCCAACTTGTCGGCCCCAATTAGATCAAACATTTGACTTTGTAATTAAAAATGCAAAAATGACTCACTGTGACTTGCCATATCGGATCATAATGACACCATTAAAAGTGGTGCTTTGTAGTACCTTATTGAGAATGCAGGCAGAAATCGACAGATTACCAAAGCATCTTGTTAAAATAAATTAATAAATGGAGAACCGTTTACTAAATAGCCTTCATAATTTAAACCCATCTACTTCTAACTTTTCAACAATTCTTTAAATCTCATTACTATTATTTGGTTGTTTGGAAAATTCACACGACGTAAACAACTAAATACTTAATCCTGCTTATTTTTCACCTCACTCCCTAACGCAACCAGAAGGCACCACCAGGGTTAGTTAATTAGCAAATGAATGCTTATAACAAATCTCATGCAAGAATAGCCTTTGCGCCATCTTACCTATTTAAAACTTTTACTTTCGTTGCCAGTTGCATTGACTGATCACAATTTCAAGTATTTGGGGATTCGCCAAGATGATGAAGTTTTGTTTAAGGGCAAGGTTAAACGTAAACATTGGAACAAAAGGAGCGCTTTTCACCCAATTCCTCCTGATTGCATTCAGGCTTTTTCGCAACTTTTCCTAATGGATAAACTAATGAGGGTCGATCTCTACTTAGATGCCAATGCTTTAAAACTACTAGCACGAGAGAGTCTATCAGATCTTAGTCACTCGTATATACCACTCCCTCGCGAAATAATTGCCATACAAGGACGGGTAAAAATTGGTTCATATTTATTCCTAATGATTTGCTGTTTTCGCTATATAAGCAAATGCACAAAAAGTTGCCTCGTCTTTATGGTATACTGTATCGAAGTTTTTAAAATATACTCTTGGAGGTGCTGGATATCACATTGTATTTGACAATGGTTGGGTTTCTTGTTCATCGAGTGTTAGACCAACCTATTCATTTGTAGATTAAGCCAACAAGGACCTGGAAATCTGTATTTGCGTTCCCTGGTGATGCCATAAAGGCCCATTTGGGTCGCTAAAGTCAATCATCGTCAAGGTGCGAGCAAATTTGATTGCACAAGAACTTCAATGAAATTAAATTGAATTTGCATTCGAATTATACTTGTCAGTGTTATGGCAACATTTATTGGTAAGCTAATTGGTTTAATACAATTTATCCTCTTCAGGTTATAGTGACTGAGGTGGCTTGATTTAGGCTGTTTCCATGCCATAGGAATAGGAAGAGTGCATCTGGTGTACAGCAATGCATCCCAAGGCAAAAGCGATGCTGAATGATTAATGATTCTGTCAGCAGTGGTGGAAGTATATGTTTGGGTCTTTTTCACATATATGATACGGGTCAATATCACTTTTAAGTGATGTATACAAGTGTACGCTTATGGATACGGTTCTCATGAGGCATTCAACACAGCCTGTTGGATTGTTGGAATTCTGTTGCCATCGTCCTTGATCTTACGTGTGCTACTCCTTGTTTTATTCCAGGCCACTCCCTCAAGGAGACCTGATGGATGTTGGTTAGCGTTTTGTTAAAGATCACAGGGTATGGAGTTTATTCCTTAAATAATTACACAAATATTGCCCATTACTTCAATCATAATGACTCTTGAATTTCTTGTCTCTTGATTGGTAATTTAAGAATCTGCACTTTTTAATTGAACAGTTCAAAACTGCACCCCGCGCTTCGTGTTGTATTGAAGTAGTCCTGATGATATCAACGTAAGTTATGATTATCCATAAAGAAGACGCATAAGGGAAGGCTTGCCTGTATAGTAACAACTACTGAAATACACATGAGCATGAACAAAGTGTAGTAGAGAAAAGAATATTTTGCTTGATTTCTCCCGTCAAAATGCGTTCAAAAGCAAAATATTTACTGACAGCCATCGTTTTAAATAACTTCTAACTTTTGCCATTCATCTGATGAAGGAATAAGAGAGTCGCCAGAAATAAATCTCCCATGTTTCTCATTATTTTATCTACACCCAGCATTACTGTTGCATTTGTGACAATTCGACCATGCGATTAATTCCTTTAGCCTGTAAAAAATCTTGAATCAGGTTAAAATTTTCCTCATATTTAAACTCTTAGTTGCAAACTGAAACAGTATATTTTATGTGGGCTGCGTGCCTTTTAAACTGGGTAAGCCTAGGTAATGAATAAGTGTGGAGATACATGCAAACCTGCAAAGGTGCCAACATACCCAACATATTCAATTATCTCGCAAAATTTGGGGAGGAGAGTTTTCCCTTTTTAATCTATCATCCGACAGAAGCAGAGACTTTTCTCTTGCGTATCTAACCTATTTTTGACATTGGTAGCTTAGATTTTCCCGATTTCCACTGCTCCTCGTGGCATCGGCTGACACATCAGTGCATTTCAAATTTTTTAAGGGGATCACTCAATTGAGCCCATGACTTCAAATCAAAACGTCTTGTTTTTTGGTGGATCTGTTAATAGCAATGACCATTGTGAAGACATAGAAAAATGAGGGGATTAAGTATTGCACTGCTTTTCACATTCAAATAGACAAGAAGTTATAAGTCCTAACTTAAGTAGTTGACTAGTAACCGCAAAATGCAGATCCTGAGGTTAACAAAACTAGTAAATTAGGAGTCAATTGAATCACAAATAATTTCAAATTTCACATCTTTGAGATAAATAAACACCAATAAATTATTAAATGCCTCCACGATATGTAATGGTAATTATAAAAAGCTAAAAATTGAAAACATGCAGATTTAGATGTCACGAGGCCCCACGACGGCTGTCTGTATTGTCACATGTAATAGACAGCAGTGTATAATCCAATGTGCACAAAAGATCCCAACCTCTACCACAGCAATGAGGAAATACCACACAAAAATATTGTGCATCAAGATATGTTTTTTACTATGTGGTTTGCTGAAAAAATTGGAGGAGGTGAGTAATGTGGTATTGACAAGAGGTTACTAAGTTAAAAAAGCCTTCAAACTTAATAAGTGAGGATGCTTAACTTGAGGCAAATTGGGTGGTCCACCTATTTTAGCTTTAACGAAATGAGTAACTCAACCGTCGTGGAGACGTTCCACAAATTTTTTGAGTAAGTAAATAGGTTTTTTTAGGCGTGGATCAAAGGACGAATGGTGTTATTTGGACAAATCTTAAGTCTTCGCAACTTGAGCGAATCACTTGCGCACTTTCATCTGGACAAAAGCCAAGTACTGTTGGGTCTTTTTTGTGAAGAAGTGGTCCAGATAAAGTGCGCACTTAAGAAGCCCTGCTTGGAATTCAAAGTCTCACCTAAGTGGTCCATTACTTTAAAGGGTGATTGACTGAAAGGACACACAATACTGATGTAGGTCATACTACAAGCACTTTTTTTATCTTGCTTAATCTGAATTCATACTTCTTAAAGGGATGGTGACAAATCATTAATTCTTGTGCAGAAAAGAATCTCGCGTTTGAATTAAACTGGTTGCTACAGACCGGTTCTGCTTGTTTCCTCTGCCCTTAGTGCGAATCATTAAGCGCGGCATTTATTTAGGCGTGTGATTTGAAAAAGAACTTGAGACAATAATCGTGGAATTCCGGTAGTTGCTTTAATGAATTGAGGAAAATTTGGGAACCTAGTGTGCGATACCACCTCAAAGGAATATTGGCAGCTCTATCATGTCAAGCCACAGAGGCAGAATACGAATAAGAGCTTTTGACAGCTCTTTATTTTGTGAATGATTTTGTGTTTGTTATGAAGCTTACTGCATTTAGCAGATGACTAAACTGAGTTTCCTTTTTCATTAATCATATTTTGCGCAAGTTATTTATCTTGGGGACTAGCCTTGTTTATGTATGCAACTATCTGATCGTATCTATGGCATTAAATTACCTTTTAAAAAGCATAATTACTGGACTCCTGGTAGAAGCAAGGGGTAAGAATAGTGAGTAACCTTGATGAAATTAGCTTAATGAATCAAGACAGTGAATGTAAATCGCCGTAAATGGGACCGTGGCATGGGACTGTTACATTTTTGTCAAGGGCTGAGAGCCATCATCTCTGAGCATTATTAACGGCATATGGCCTGTGTATGTTGAGGCTATTTAAATGACAAGACCACATTGTAAACTGCATTCGCTGTAGGGCAAAGTGAAGTACATTCTGACCGTTTGATCTCAAATTCTTCCAACTGGTATATCACACACTTCCGATTCGTTGAATGATTTGTAATGCCGACGTAAATCAACTATACTTATTCGTCACAAATTTTTTTTGGAACTAGCAGATTATCGTAAAGATGCTGAAACTATGTATTTGGTTTTTTGGTAAATGTCAACTTATCATTCCTTTGTGAATCATTGTTTACTTTAGTCGTAAATCGGTTTAAAAATCAGTTAATATTAGGGATTTTGTATCAAGTACCCGTTTTTTGTTAAATCGAGGGAAGTGGTATGCTAATGAGCTATGGTGCGTCAGGATAGGAGTACTGAGGCTCCTCGGCTATTTGGATGTATTTCAGAATGACGTGCCTGATAAAATTATAGATGTATGACCGTCACTTGAGAGGGGAATTGGCTCTGAAGTACACTTCTCGATCTCGTTACGGGTAAAAGCCATTTCCTTCAGCCGTGTTCTGCGAACAAATTGCGCAGTTAAATTCATTTACCTTTGACTGCAACAGAAGCTATAGTTGATCATCGGAGAGATAGAAGGATGTAGAACGGTAAAAAATTATATTTAGTACACAAGATCAATGAAGCTAGCAGACCGAATTGCTGAAGATAGATTCAATCTTAAAATAAGCACCAGTCGTGTCGAAAGCGAAATAACTTGACGCTGGAGATGCTTTTAAATTAGTCCTTAGCACGAAATTTTTCGGCTTAATTTTTAGTACTTTTTGCATACTTCGCGCACATGCAGAGAAGCAATTTGTCTTTAGGTGGAGGACTTTTCATTTACTCTTTTTAATCGTTATCTCGCGTGTAGGGTTATTAATCATGTCTTTGACAGATTAGAAGTGCAAATTATGCACTGGCCCGGACACCCGACCTCTTGCAAAATGAGGAGCCAGGACATGCTCAGGAAATTCTTCAGGCTTATAGTTTGATTCACGTTTTATACATTATAACATTCTTTGGAAGTAACTACTACCCAGTGAAAAGTTCAATTCATATTTTAACGTGGACACAAATTTTACCATTGATGGTAAAAGCTGGAATCTAACCAGAAGCCAATTTGAATAAAATGGGCCCAGAGCAATCTCTAATGGCTAATAACTCTATTCGATTTCGCAGCTAAGGCTGGGCGAAACTGCCATGCATCTTTTCTTCACCGCTTTACCACTAGTGAATATACCAAATTACATTTGCAAATGAAGATCAAAGCTAATGGCAGCTCCTTAAGATGATACACCCACTTTTTCTCCTATTACCAACACCTATCTTGTTTCCGCCTCTTTATTGTAAGTGGGAAATACCTTCTCTTTCGGTATTTTCTCTAATGGGTAGACTTTACTGTTTTCACTGGTGAGAGCGCAAAACATCTCTCACCTGCATGTTACGATGTGAAACCACGGTATATGAGGAGGCCTCAAGCAAGCCCAAATTAACCTATTAAAAATGTCAAAAGTGACACCCCAACTGGGTTGCCAAACGTTACGAATGATATGGAGTTTTTTACATGTAATGCAATTCCATCCGGCCAATAAGTCTTCATCATCGTGGTGGTGTTTGTAAGAGAGCATGCTATGTTTTCAGTGGAACTGAACTAATTTTCTCACTTTTTGTTCACCTTCATTGTCTTAGACGCTTGTGTATTGGTGTAGAAGGGACAAAAGCCCTCGGCTGTCTAAATAGCAAGAGAAATAGCGTTTGACAGGGGCAATAGGCGGTCTCTACAATACTTTTGACAACCACCCCCCCCCACCCCAAC